GTGTGTTACGGTGACATCACTTCCTGTTTACAACGTGCGCGTTCACGGCTCTGGGCCCTGCTGTGGGGGAGGAGCTTAGGAAGGGGAGCTGAGAGCAGGGGGAGGGACTACAAGGTTGTTTCTGTTCAAAATTTTCTAAGTTTTTGGGTTTCCAAAAAACTACATACAGCAGCTTTAAGATAATAACAACTGTCTCAAAGTTTGCCTGAATGTTGGAAGGTAATGTTTCTGTGAGACTTGTACATAACGGTAAAATATTATAGTCAACCAAATCATAGAATTTCAAAATTTTCAGTTTGCAAAATAATGTATTTGATGGATGGTTGTAATATTTTTAGCGATAATTTTTACGGCTCTTTTCTGCAAAACAAAAATTGGATTTGTATTAGTTTTGCAAGCTTTACCCCAGACTTCAATACAGTAAATTAAATGTGGAACAATTGTTGACTTGTACAACACAAGCAGAGCTTTGTCATTGAATAACTCTCTGACTTAATACAGTACTCCTATAGATTTAAATATTTTTGTTCTTATGTAATGTATGTGAGGTCTCCATGTCAGCTTATCATCAATGATGACACCCAGAAATTTCACCTCACTGACTTTACAGATCAATACCATCCACTTTAAATGAAAAATCAACAGTTGTCTTCCTATTACTAAATGTCACGTAGTTTCTTTTATCCAAATTTAATGATAATTTGTTTTGTTGAAACCAATTTAATATTTTCTCAAAGTCTTTCTGTACCATCTCAAACATTTTTTCCATATCTTTACCCTAAACAAAAAAAATGTATCTTCAGCAAATAAAACACATTTGAAAAGTCCTGACACATTTACTAAGTCCTTCACATATAAAATAAATAACTTAGGTCCCAGTACAGAGCCTTGAGGGACTCCACATGTGATATTACCAAGTTTAGATCTTACACCATTTATCTGTACAAACTGTTTCCTATCTTTCAAATAACTAGATACCCATTGTAGTGCTGACACTCTAATACCGTATTTACTTAATTTTTCAAGAAGAATACTGTGATCAGTTGTGTCGAATGCTTTCTTTAAATCTCATTTAAAGAAAGCATTCGACATTGACTCAGGTGAACTAAATTTAGCTGAATGTGTTCGCTTACAGTTCGAGGGATTAGTCAGCACGTGTGTTTTGAGGCTTGTAATCAAGAGTAAAGAGCTGTTGTGTCTTGAGCGCATTGGTTTACTGGTTGTTTTGTAACCCAGCCACTCAGAAACTGAAGTTTCTTCGCTTTTCAGGCCAAAGAAGCGGAGCTGCAGCAGATCAACAAGATGCTGGATGACCCACATCTGACTGTGACCAAATTTCGCCTGTGGAAGAAGCAAAACGAGGAGCTGATGCTGGAGATCCAAAAACTGGCCTCGCAGAAAGCCCCTGCGGGAGACAAGGACGTCGCGCCGGCGCAGGACACGCCCGCCAAGGAGGTTGCCTTGGAAACTGTTGCCACGGAGCCGGCCACCGCAGAGGCCGAGGGCGCGTACGGACTGAGCCTGAGCGACGGCGAGCAGCTGGTCGACGCGGAGCTTTCTGATATTTTCCCGGAGATCCCCTCGCGGTCTCTGAGTCCCGACGCGGACCTGGAGTTGGACTTTTCTCTGGGCTCGCTGGGGGAGTCGATAAACAAACACCTGAGTGAAAACGCAGGAAGCGTCGAGCACTCCTTCTATATTTAGGACCGCGCTCGGGCCGGAAAAACCCACTCCAAAAACTATTCAAGGTTCAGTTGATTAAAACCGGACGAACAAAACGATGTGAAAAAGACTCAGCTTACAGCTTCCTGACGAAATTCACCTGATGGATCAGTTAAAAATCACGTCGACGCTCTGATTAAATGTACCATAGAGAAGCACATTTACAGACTGTTTATGCTTTAGAAAATAAAACTGCAATGTGACACGTTTACAACTGCAAGGACAAAAAAACATTTTAAACCTCCCAAGTGTTCAGATCATATTTATGAAATTCTGAGTGTCTTGTTTGTTAGGATAAAAAAAAGAATAATCTCTTGGAATTCAAGGAGAACTTTTAATATAAATCAAGCCTTTTAAATGTGATATGTAAATATAGTTTTAGCATAAATACTGTTTGTATTTGTTTACTGATATTACCTTAATAAAGGTACGTATGAGTGATGTTTCCCAGGACATTTACTGGAAATATTGTGCTTTTTTATGCAGTTGGTCAAGACAGTTATGGTGTCTTGTTAGCCCTGCTTTACTTCACCACACTTTGTTTCACTTAACCTTGTCCTAAAGCAGTACAACGGCTCCTTATTGCCTCGAGTGCATCAAGGCTAATGAAGACGTGTCGCTCTCTGATTGGAAAAGAGTGGGGAGCGTTAAGCACTGAAACGTTTTCTTAATCAAAATCGATATGACTAAAAGGAGAAAAAGTGAGGAGAGTAGATAAAGTGTGTGTTCCTGTTCCACGAGTATCTGCCTTTCCTCGTGTGTGCCTGAGCACCGAGCGGCTCACTAGACTGAAAAAGACACTGTTTCAATTAACATTAAAAAACTGCCTTCAGGTTATAGTTTTGTAAAAATTTGACTTTGTCGAATTAACTTTCTGTTCAGATGTTAAAATGTAAATCAAGTCTAAAATGACTTAACAAATATTGATCTAAAATAGGCAGTCCCGGGGTCTCATGTACAAAGACATGCGTGGATTTCTTACTGAAACCTGACGTACGGTCAAATCCAGAAAACAGTGTACGCACAAAAAAATCCAGATGTATCAAACTGTGCGTACGCCTGAATCCACATACATTGATTTTGTACATCACGATTAACGTGGAACTGAGCGCACGTGAGACACCTCCCCTGACACGCCTTCGTTTACATATGTTAAACAGATACAAATTACTTCCTGCATGTGTGAAGGACACGTTTGAGTGATCCCTGCATGATCAGAAATGATTTCTAATGTCATAAAAATAATGAATTTAATATAAAGTGAGTGTGAAAAAAATCCTAAGTAAAAATAGGAATAAAATATGTATCACGCAAAGAACGAGTGATTGTGTGTCGGTGTGTGTGTGTGTGCGCAAACTGCTGTGTTGCGCAACCGGCTCATCGCTTTGCGCACGAGTTTATTTCCATTCCTGTAAACGCAGAGGAACTTAGATGTTTGGTAGAACATACACTCACCGGCCACTTTATTAGGTACACCTGTCCAACTGCTCGTTAACACTTAATTTCTAATCAGCCAATCACATGGCGGCAACTCAGTGCATTTA